GGGGGCGGGGCCCAAAGGCGTCGTCGGCGGCGGCCGCACGCCTCACCTGCGCCAGGGAGCGGCCCCTGTCCGGCAGCAGCACCGTCAGGCTGAAGTCCCGGCCGCGGTACTCCATCTCCAACAGCCGGAGGCCGTACGCCGGCAGGCGGGCGTAACGGAAGGTGTTTTCCTGGAACATCATCTGCACGGAACAGTGGCGCCGCGCGTCCACGTGGAAGGGGGCCACGTACGCGTCCTCCTCGTGGAACTCGCGCAGCCACCGACCCTGTTGAGAGCAACGAAGAATAGAATTAGTTTTCAATCATTGACCAGCCGCTTTTTTTGTGTCGTCTCGAGTCAACGCCATTGACGCTTCTTAACCCTGGAGAAGCCACGGGGTCAAATTTGGCCCCTCTAAATTCTGCTACTCAAATGCCACCCTTAAATGCCAAAGGGTCAAATTTGGCCCTCATTCTAAATTAGGACTAAAGCATTGAATATTTGAAAAAAACATCTATTTTGTCGGGATGTGAATCTCAGCACTGCGGACGATTCGATACACATCTTGATGCGCTCACTACCAGCGATGCGATACTTAAACGATACGTGGAATTTTCTGGCGACACGATGCGATACGTTTCACCGTCTTCACGATGCGATACGATGCGATACACATTTAGTTCAAATCAATGCGATCCGATATGATACGATGCAATTTGTTGCAATATGGTGCGATTAAACATGACGTAAATAAGCAAAGAAAACACGTTTTAAAAAGATGGAATTCAGTATGGCATGACAAAAAGGATACCACTTTATTCCTTGTAAACAGTAGAACGTGTAAAACAACTTCTGGAAGCCCTTTCCCAAGTGGGTTTTGTGCAAAGAAAATGTCAACAATTTGGCACCTGAGACTCACAGCTGTTGCTGCAGTGGACACACCGAGTGTCCTATATGAAATATCCATCTCCATAGGACAGAGAATAAAATGCAATTTTTACAATATGCCTGCTGTGTGTATTGTAGCCCAGGGGTCCCCAAAGTTTTTTGCGCCACGGACCGCTTTATGTCAGACAATATTTTCAGGGACCGGCATGTAAGGTGTGGCGGATTAATACATCCATCCATCCGTTTTCCGAACCGCTTGATCCTTACAAGGGTTGCGGGGCATGCTGGAGCCAATCTCAGCTGTCTTGGGGCAGTAGGCGGGGGACACCCTGAGCCGGTTGCTAGCCAATCGCAGGGCACACAGAAACGAACAACCATTCACACCCACACTCACACCTAGGGACAATTTTAGAGTGTCTGTAGGTGCCGATTTGACATTGGTCGAATTTTGTGTATTCTATTTGCTGTTTAGTATTGATATGTTCAATTGGCATATTTTATAATTCGGTAGAAATAGTCGTCGCTATTATTTGATGCATGTTAGAATATTTCTTTCGCAGAACTACTTGTTTTG